TATACGATTATTATTTGTTCTTTCAACATAATTCAATTAAAATTTAATTAACCCTCATCACCTACACCTACATCGGCTGCGGCTGCTGCTGCTGCTGGACAGAGATCCCCTTGCTGGTGATCTCTGCAAACAGTTCAGTGAACCGAGCGTTGGGAATAATAAAAATAAAATATTACCTCTAATGATGCACACATAAAATGCAGCCGCAATAAAATATGAAAAAGGCATAAGATGAAGAAGCAGACGTAAGATGCGAGAATAAAAAAAAAAAAAAACAAAAATTGATATAAAAATAAAACAAAAGTGACTTTTAACAAAAGCCAAAGAGAGCCGAGAAATGAGAAATATCATAAAAGTGCAATTAATCAACAGAAACCGAAGCAGGAGATCGAGAACAGGGACGAGGGGGGGAATGTGGCATGTGGAACTCGGCTGATGGAGACAAAGGCTGACACTTATCGGCTTTATCTGCTTATGTGTGGCATGCCACAAAGGAGAACAAAAAGCGAAGCGCAGAGCCGACTCGGAGATGCCCTAACTATGGCCAAGCAGCTATTGGAAGCATTCTCTATCTAAAAGAAATGTAGTCTTGGGTTACTTCGGAGCTTATTGTCCGATCTGTTTGCAATTTTCTGGGCTCTAATATAAGATACAAAGGTATTCACATTTTATTCACACTTGAGCTCGTAGAATTCTCGAGATATGCTTAAGAAAAGGTACCCAAAAATCGATTTTTATCAATATTACGAAAATGTTTTCTATACGATACTATACATAAGAGGCAGGTTAGCTCGATTCTCAAGATCAAGAATATATAAACTCGCTCCTTAAAATCCGATGTGCCTTCTGGCTGTTACACACCCTATCGCAAACCCAACATACCCTACTCACACATTTTGAATTGGGTTCAGGGTCTAAAAACTTGTAAATAAATAAAAAAGAATTATAAAAGTATTGAAAAGTAGCTGCGGCTGCATGGGAATTGATTATTTTGCATGCGGATGCCGCCTGTCAATATTTGATTTTTATATATGGCATTGCCTGACAGATCAGCAAGGCGTGTGGGGAGAGGGAAAAGGGTAGAGCGAGAGGGGCAGAAATGCAGCGATTTTTAATAAATGAAATGTGTAAATAAACGCCTCGAGGAACAAGAACGAAGCAGAAGGGGCAGACAAAGAAGTGGCATAAGAATTGGGTAGGCAAACAGCAGGAAAGCATAAACATGGCCAACACTAATACCAAGGCAAACAAACAAAGACGCAAATGCAGATGCAGATGCATTTCCAAAGAATTTCTAAGCACATAAAAATCCAACAACAATATCAAAGCCAGCGGTCAGCGTTGAAAAAATATTTAAAAATGCATAAAAACAAAATATTTATTGAAGAAATGAAAGACGGAGCGGAGCGGGTTAGACGTTAACAAGCCAACGGGAATGCAACAAGAAAGCGTCCGCCACGCAATGACTGAACGACCAAGAGATACCCTGTACCAGTTAATCGATTCGTACATACATCCTATTGTAACTCTCGTGTTTCTTGTGTGATTATCTGGAAACTTTTGAGCGTTTGAATTGACATTTCAATATGTTTGTATCAAAAAAATCCAAGTTTTAGCACCGAGAATTTTCGACTTAGCTTACTTTATCCTAGAGATGTGCTTATTTAGATAATTTCGAACTTAATTGTCGAAAATGGGGAATACACTTGCTTTGCCTATTTTTTTCTACAGCTAGCACAGTTTTGTGGCTCTAAATCATATTATCTCAAAGGATAATTTTTGTAAATCAATACTTATCGATTTTGGGAAAATGTAACATTTCCTTAGAGAAGCGAATAAAGTTGATTTGGTTTTGATAAACGAGAATCTACATTCCCAGTGCTATCAGAGTTAAATGTGCTTTGGATAATTGAGAAAAGTACATTCAATCGATATTTATCGATTTTGGTCAAATGTGACGTGTTATCGAACAAAAAAACTTCATTTGATGTGCTTTCGATAGACGGGAAACATTTTAAAGACAGAAATTGTAAAACTTTGAAATTTATATATATTTATTTTGAGAATATCTACACTCAGCTATTAGCTCTTTTATTTTTTAAAAAATCGATATATATCGATGTTGGCAAAATGCCACGTGTTATCGAAGAATTACAACAGTTTATCTGCTTTTGATTAATGAACAACTGAATTTAGTCAGTCCACATTTCAAAAGTTGAGCTCCTAAACGTACAAATCGATATTTATCGATTACATGAGAATACGTAGATTTATCGAAGAAAGACTACAGTTTGTAAACTTTTAATAAAGGAATAATTATATGTAATATAGTCAGTTTTAAGCTCTTTGTGTTTTAGAATTCGATGCTTATCGATCCATCGAAATAATCTGTCTGTAGCTCCTCTGGTCTGCAATATACCCGCGTTCTAGCGCATTTTCAATGGGTACAGGGCATAAAAATATTAAATGAGATAAACAAACGTTTTCGAATTTGAACAAATGAGCATGCTAATGCGCTCAAGAACCCAGTCAAGTCGCAGTCTAACCCAGCCTTCGCTTATTTGATTAATGCACTCGAAAGCGACAATAAACAAGAACAAACGAACATAGTTGGCAACTCTGGACGCTGCCGAGTGCCTGGGCCTGGCCCTGGGCCTGGTCTGGGCTTGGGTCTGGGCTCTGGGCCTGGGACTGGGCCTGGAGTGAGATCTGCGTCGAGTGCCAGATCGTTCAGACAAACAAATATCGCATTCCACTGCACACAAATCGAATGTGAATGCTCAATTGATGTGAAGCCAAACGGCTTTTTAAGAACTCTGAAGAAAACTGGGTTCGTCGACGTCTATTAGATAAATAAATAAAGAAAATTTTTTATTAAAGTGCGAATTCTGCGGTGCGCTTAATGTTGATGGAACGTTCGGAGCCAGCTGCTAGAAGAGACCATGGCGAACCGTTGACATGTTGCCGTTGTTGCCCCATAACCATCGACTAGTCCATCAAAACCGGTTCGTGGAGGGGCAACTCTGAGCTGCAGCTTCTCGATGGAGCCGATAAAAATCAGTCAGACATGAGAAACAAACAATTTCGAATATTACTTTGCGACAATTTATGTCGAGGAGTTCCCTTGTCTCTCTCTCTCTCTCTCTCTCTCTCTCTCTCTCTCTCTCTCTCTCTCTCTCTCTCTCTTAAAATGTTGTTGTTATTCCATTAATATTATTCCAAATATAACTTTTGACTAGGACCATGAGTTAGTTTCTTGAGAAAGGCCTAACTGTTCGTTTGTAGTGTTGTAAAATGTCTGTGATATTCTTAATAATTTTTCCATTAAATGCTACTCCATAATCGATTAAGTAAAGTCATGTTTTGTTAAACATTAGTTCCTTAAATTCTAGAGTTGTTGAACGCTGGCTCGTTTAATTCTAGTGTTGTTTAACACTACTTCGGTAAAATCTTAGAGCACTAGAATGTTAAATGCTAGTGTTGTTTAGCACTAATTTGATCAATTCAAGTGTTATTGAATACCGGCTTGGTTCTTTTTTTAGCTTCTTTATAAAGAATAGATTTTCGGAATGGTAAATCCTTCTATATACCCACCTGTTTTATTGTCATATAACGAGCGAGTGTAAGTGTTGCCCTTTTTTGCAAATATTAGAGTGTTGTAAATGGATCAAAGGCAAAATATTGTTTAGTTAAGCTGAGCCACATTCGTTTTCAATACTTTTTCCCCATATTTTTTTTATTTTTTTCCGATATATGTACAATCAAAAACTTAACATGCACATTAGACAGACTTATAACCCATTCAATAATTAAATGTACAATCGGTTGAGAAAACAGTGTTGTTTAACCCGCGTGAATGTAAGCATTAATGTGTTCAAAAGGGGTCTATAGGTCAAGTGGAATAAATAATATATCGAATATGCTTATGTTAAACGAAAACAAATACTGTTGTTTAACACTGGCTTGGTTTATTATTTAGATGAAATATTTTCTTATTAGGATTTTTATTTAGATTTTTTTTTGTGATAGACTAAACTAAATGCCTTATAAAAAAAAACTCTATTTCGATTTTTTTAATTTAGTATTTCCTTATTTAATGTTAAGTGCAAGCAAAAACAGTTACTAAACACTAGCTTTGCTTAGTATTGGCTTTAATCAACACTAGTTAGTCAATATAATCCAAATAAAACCTATATTAATATAAAAAGTTTTTGAAAATTAACTGTGCATCGAGATGTGACCTATAAAGTTTAGTATATCGCGTTACTCAACACTGGCCTTGTTTATTTTGAATGCTTTCGCTAATTAAATATGACCTTACGAAAACAATTCAAAAGAAACACGTTCGACAAAAAGGGGCTGCAGTAAGATGAAAACAAAGTAAATAAGGCCTACGAATGAATATTCATATTCATAAATAAATGTATTCATATTTAAGATCAATTAGTGTGTGGCACAAGGAATTCCGAATGGGAACCTACGACAAGGCGAAAAATGTTTAAAATACCTTCAACGATCGCGAGCGAAAAGACGTGGCCCGGCAACAACATTGAGTGGCAGCAGCAGCGGCAGCAGCAGCATCGGCAGCACGCCGGCGACGACGTGAAGCACGTGAATGCTGTCAATCAAGAGCGCCGCGCAGTCAGCGACAACAACAACAGCAACAACAACAACAACAACAACATCAGCATTCCACGGTAGCCGCGTTCGTGACGTCACGCGGCGAAATGCCGTCGGCAAAAGGCAGCCGAAACAAAATGAAGATCGCGAAACGTAAATCAAAACAAAACAGAGAGAGAGAGAGAGAGCGCGCCAGAGAGCAAGTGAGTGAGTGCTGCTTGACGCGTGAGCGCGCCGCAGCGCTGCAACTGCCCTGCTGCTGCTGCTGCTGCTGCTATGCTTAAGAGAGCGCGCAAAGCTGATCGCGCTTGTGAATGAAATGCGCGAGAAAATATTTGAAGAGAATTGCAAGTTTGGAAGAGCGTATTTGTTGTACTCACCCGCTCCTCCTCGCGTATCATTTCCGCAATGCCCGGCTTGATCTCCATATCGTCCGCCAGCGAGGCTGCGCTGCCGCCGGTGGGTGGTCCGCTATGATGATGGTGCGGCGGCGGCGGCGGCAGACGCGGCTCAGCTGCAGCTGCGACGCTCAGCTCCATGGCGGCAGCGGCCATGGCGGCGGCAGAGCCGAGCGGAAAGCGCGACTCCGCGGCAGCGGTATGAACGGAAGCGCCGGAAGTGGAAGTGCCGGGCGCATGGCCCAGCCCGTGATGCGCCTGATGCTGCTGCAGGTGATGCAAATGCTGCTGCTGCTGCTGCTGCTGCTGTTGGTGCTGCTGCTGCTGCTGCGGACTGGGCAGCGACTGCGCGAGTGTGCGTTGGCAGCGACCCGCTGCCGCTGCCGCTGCCACTGCCGCTGGCGCTGGCGTTGTTGCGGGTGATGGCATGTCCAGGCCATGCAGCGCCGTTTCCAGCGCTGCCGCAGCGGGCGTCAGACGACGCGGCGTAACGCTGCCGCTGCCCGAGGAGCCTAGCGGCAGCGCCATTTGCTTGGGCGGCGGCGTCAAAATGCCGCAATCGCGCTGTCTCTCACGCTCCTTTTGCTCCTGCTCCAAACGCTCGGCGGCGATCAGGCTGCTCAGCGGGCTGGCGGGCGCCTGGAATATGGCGTCGGCCGAGGGCCAGCGACGCTTGCGCACATTGCGGCTCTGCTGGCGTTCCAGCGGCGACAAGCGCAGTTCGCCGCAGTCCCAGTCGCCGCTGCGCAGCTTCTTCTCGGGCTGCATAAAAGAGAGCAGCTGATCTTCGCTGCCCTCGCGCTCAGCCGGCGAATTCTTGGGCGAATGCTGTGCAGTCGGTGTCGAGGAGGCAGTTGCTGCCGCTGCCGCTGCCGCTGCCGCCGCCGCTGCTGCTGCCGTATTGATCTCCTCCATTTGGGTGACATCCGCCAATCCGCGTACCTTGAGCAGCTCGGCAATGCGCAGCAGCGGGCCAATCTGATCCTGGCTAACATTGATTTCGCCGCGATACATGAACTCGACAATGGCCTTCAGATCGCACCAGCTGACGTCGCGCATGATGACGATCGGATGCTGGCAGGGGGTCTCGGCGAGCAGGGTCTGGAAGTAGGGCGAGCAGGCGGAGAGGACCATTTTGTGTGCCTTGATCGAGCGGCCGTCGCAGGCGAGCGTCACATCGACAAAGGATTCGTTTTGCAGCAGCTGATCGAATATGGTTGTCAGATTTGATTGGTAGTTGTTCCAGCGCAGGCAGAACTGTTGCGGCAGCTGATGCTGCGGCGTCGAACGGGACCCGGGCGAGGAGCTGCCCGCGTTGACGTTGACGTTGACGTCGACATTGGCGTTCGCGTTCGCGTTCGCGTTCGCGTTGGCGTTGGCGTCCGGTGGCGTTGTTAACGGCGGGCTAACGGTCTTTGATTTATCCTGTTGCGATGTTGGCGAACCAACGCCGCCGCCGCTGCGCTGTCGCTGCGCCGCTTGCGCCTGCTCCGTTGCATAGGTTTCGCTGTCCGTTTGCGCAGTCGCTGCGGCATTGCTGCGATCGCTACTCTGTCGCGACGTTGGCGTCTCCGTTGACGCCATTTTGTGTGTGTGCCCAAAAGAGAGCGTGTGCGAATCAAGAGAGAGCGTGAGACAGAGAGCGAGAGTGTGTCTATTGATCGTGCGCGCGTGAGAGCGGCAAATCTTTCATTTGCAAATGTAACGGTAGAGGTGTGTGCATGTGTGTGTGTGTGTGTGTTAAACACTAGAGCTTGCACGAGACGACGCGTTTATCATGCGCTCGCGTTAAAGTCGCGTTTTAATTAACGTACACGTGAGTGTGCCTAGGTGTGTGTGTATGTGTGTGAGTGGGTGTATGTGTGTGGCTTACGTAGCGTGCATTTAAGTTAAATTTTTTTTGTATTTAATTTAATTTTTTTTTTTTTTAATTTTCTTAAATATTTTTTTAAGTTAAAATTTGCTAAATAAATGTGTATGTGTGTGTGTGTGTTGGTGTGTGTGCGTGCTTGTGTGGCGGCTCGTCGTGTGACGTCTCGTCTCGTTATTTGGCAAACGGAACGTGCCCCCAAAAAAGTCTTTTCAGCACGAGTGTCTGAATTAGACTGAAAACGTTTTGCACATTTTGATACGGAAAAACTCAAAACAAACTTAACACACGGGCAGCAGCAGCAGCAGCAACAGCAGCAGCAGCAGACGACGTCGATTGGGGCTACGACGACGACAACGACGACGACGGCGGAAAACGCAGAGGCGCTGCTTGCCTAGTTGTTGTTGTTGTTGTTGTTGTTGTAGTTGCCGTCGCGTCGCGTTTTGTTGGAGTCGAGAGTTGCGAATGCGAATTCGCTGAGTCGTCGTCGCGACGCCAGCCGCGAGACCCCAAGTCGTAAATAGTTCGCTGCCGACGTCGCAGCCAGCAATTGCAGTTGCATTTTCAAGGCAAAGGAGCGCAGCCAGCCAGCGCAGCGACAGCGACGGCAGCGAAAATAGTGCAAAGAGCGTCAAGCGGCGTGCGGCAAGCGGCGTGCGGCGACAATCAAATGCCGGCAAACGTTGAAAATTCCTTTACTCGGCAAAACGAAAAACGAAGCGAAACGAATGCTTGACGAGGCGAGGCGAAGTACGTTCGGCGCTGCTCGCTCTCCCACACACAGCGACCGCCGCGTGCGCGCAACCCCCAAAAAACAGCGACAGCAGCAGCAGCAGCAGCAGCGGCCGCAGCTGTTGTTGCCGTTAGTTCAAAGGCGCAGAGATGAGACAAACGCGCGCTGCATTTTCGGCAATGCGTGCGAAGGGGGTCGCCTAATAGTTGAGCACACGCGTGTGTGTGTGAGTGCGTGAGCAAATGCAGCTACAATTAAAAGTTTTTGCGGCGAAAGGCGCACAATTAAATATTATAAGAAATGACCTTATCACCGAAATCTATGCAACTTAATGTACCCCTCTCACTCACGCACACACACACACACACACACGCACACGCACACGCATGTTTGGCGCGGCGATAAACATAAGAAAAAAGTTGACAGCAGCCGCCGTCGCCGCAGCAGCAAAGATTGTTCATTAATTAGTTCCGTTTGTGTTTTCTGCTGCTGCTGGCGCTGCCGAAGTTGCTCAATTTTGCGCTGCAGTCGCTGCGCTCTCAGCGGCAGCACACCAATTCGCCGCAATCTTTGAACGTTGCGCTCTTTTGTTTTTAAGAGACGCACCAAATGCTGTGCTGTGCGCTCTGCTTGCACACACACTTCTCTTTTGGCGTGCGGCGCAAAGACACACGAGCATTAAGTAGACGACGGCTGCATGTGCATGTTTGTGGAAGCGAGAGGCAGCGAGTGGGTGGGGCGGGCAGGCGACACAGGTGGCATTGCACCTGCAGTTTGAGCGACGACGTTTTTTTTTTTTTTTTTTCGTTGCTTGCTGCTGTTATGTTCTTTTTTTCTTTTCTCGCTCGCTCGTACGCCTTTTGGAACTGCCCACACTGCGGGGCTGTCACTGGAGACTGGCCACTCCGTGTGCATGTATGCGTGTGTGTGTGTGTGTGTGTGTGTGTGTCCTGCAATTGTATTTTGATTATTGTTTTGGGCATAAAATGCATAACATAAAGAAAAATACAAATCAAAACAAAATCCAAAACAAAAAAAAAACACATTGCGTGAGCGAGACAAACGATGCGGCGAGTCCGAGCGCCAGAGCGAGACAGCCAGCTGCGGCTCAGCCTCAGCCTCAGCCAGTCATAAATTATGCAAAATTTTTTGCGACTAGCAAATGGCGGCTGACTACATTATTATAAATAACAGTGCACAAAATGAGCGAATGGGCGAATGAGTGAGGGTTGAGTGTTGTCAGAGGGTGGGGGGGAGGGGTGCAAAACAAAAGACGCAGATAAAGACATGAAGAAGAGGCAGCTAAATTAATTGTGCTTAAAATGATCTGAGAATAGAATTGAAAATAGATTTTGGCAAAGATTTCGAGCAGCTGTTTTCATTATTTTAACGTAGCATTCAATTTATTTATTTTTAATGTTTGCTTTGCGAAAATTTCGATTATTTATAGCGTTTATTATTTGTTATAAAATTTTGTATAATTTTGTATAAATACATATATATTAATTCTTATTCATTGTTGCCTATGTTTGCAATATATTATTAATAAAAATACATTTTTAATATCTCACAAATTGTTGCGTATATTTGTTTTGTATACTTAAAATTATTGCGTCATTTTTTATTCATTTGTGCTTATATAAAATATACTTTTAATGAAAAAAAGAAAAACAGTTTTTATTAATTGTTGCTTATATTCTTAATATATATTATCAGAAGCAATACTTAGCTTATTTTTTTAAAATATTCTTAAATGGAACTAACATACTACTGCTTGCCATAAAACCCTAAGTAACTTTTGTCGTTGGATTTGAACCGGCGACTGCTCGCTTGGTAGTTCGATGCACAGATACCATTTCCGCTCATGGAATAGGACCTTATGACACCTTTGTTGTGGCTATTCTTCATTCAAAATTTGACCTAAGATCCTACAAAATCTCCGCTTGATGTTCACTTTCAATGCAAAAGTTTGTTTTAATACAAATTTTAATTTACAAATATTTATTCAATTTTTATATTAATTTAATTAAATTTGAATTCAATATTATTTTAAAGGTCGATTTTCATTTTGTTCACATGTAATTTAAATTGATTTAATTTATTTGATCTTTTTTGATTTAATTTATTTAATCATATTTTATTTTAATATTCTTTTTAGCTTATTTAATTCTTAATTATCATTACAATTTGATTTTTAGTATGAGTTTGATTTAATTTAATTTAAAGTTTAGTTTATTTTAATGTAATTTAATTTAAATTAAAATCTAATTTTTTCTTTTTCTAGATAAAATTTTCGCTACATCCGAAAAATGTTGGCATCTGGAATGCATTGTAAGTGTACTTAATATTCCAATTGTTTATAATATTACTATTGTTTATAATATTTAAATCTTTTATCAATTCTCAAGCCAATTTTGAAATCATGTAGTTGCCTTTTATTGTTCCTTGTGCTCTCTTCTGCTGCCTCTGCGTGACGCTGTGCGTTGCACTTGCAACAAATTTGGTTGCCACACTAAAAACGCAGCCCGCACGCACTTTGTTGCAAGTGTTGTTGTTGTTTTTGTTGTTGTTGTTGTTGGCAATCGCAGAGAAATGTGTGCAGTTTGGGGAAAATGCGGAAAATAGCTTTTTTTGGGGGTCGTGAGACACAAAACGCGTTTATACGAAAATTTATGTATTTAACTGTTGACGACGACGCTGACGAGCAAAACGATGACGCGCGATGCTGGACGCATGTGGCAAGGATGCGCTGGTTAAGGGTCGGCGAGTGGGGAAGCGGGGAGGGATGCGGGTTTGGTGTTGTGTGGCGCGACGAAAGGCAGTTGCGACAAGGCGACAGCCGCTGCTGTTGATGATGATGGCCAGTGGCGGGAAGGGTGGGAGGGGGGACGAGGGCAGGCAAAGACGACAAACAGACAACAGCAGGGCGAAGGAGGGCTAGAGTGTTGAGCGGTGGGAGAGGGGTGTTGCTGGATTTTAGAGGCTTGCGGCGCACATGACTGAACGAACACGCAAACAAACAAATAAAATGTGTGTGAGCGAGTGTGTGTGTGTGTGTGTGTGTGTGTGTGTGAAGGTGACCAAACTGTAGGCCAGCTGCTTGGGCCAGTGGGCGTGGCATAATATGGGCGTGAGGTGGGCACAGCGTAAAAAAAAAGTGCCGCATATTGCAGCAGAGAAGGCGACTGCAGCTTAGAGCCGGGGGGTCAAGCTGCTAAAGTAAGAAGGAAGGGGGGCGGAGGGGTGGTAGAACTGCCAAGTGGTAAGTGAGGAATGTGGGTGAGGGGTGCTGCACAAAGTTAGCTTACGCGCAACAAAAGCGATGAGCGATGATGCCTCAAATATGCAAAAATTCTGCCTAGCGCAATAAAACGCAAACGCAAACTTCGAGGCAGGGTTACGATTTGATGGGCGGGGGCGTGGCGCTGCTTGGGGGCAAAGGGTGTCTGCAGCAATGAAAAAGGGCTTAACGTGTGCTCGTGTGTGCCTGTGTGTATGTGTGTGTGTGTGTGTGTGTGTCCAGTTTGTATAAATCCAAACGAAGTTCGAATGCAGGCAAAAGTCCGAACGGAGGCAGCGCTAACGATGCCGCCGCCGGCTGCTGCGTGGGAGTTTGAGTCCAGGTAGAGGGGTGCACGGCGCACAGACAAACAAATAGACAGCAGCCAGCCTCCGTTCGCCCGTCCCCGCCCCCCCTCGCTTGCCCGCATTGATGGACAGTTAACGCGGCAAAAACGAACGCGGCAAAAGCCGAGTACAGGACGAGCTGCAACTCCTGCCAGCAGTTGGCTTAGACGCAACTGTACTCCAGGCATAGGCAACATGCTCCAAAGTCCACATGGTCCCCCTCACACACACACACACACACGCACACACACACACACACACACACACACACACACACAACCGGCCAGGCAGCCCCAATCGTTTGCTGTCTCTGTTCATGTCCAGTGCCTGCGCCCCCAGGCAAAGATTTTCGCGTGCGTTGCAAGTTGCCAGCGCCTGCTGCATGTGTGCCTCCAACCCCCCCTGCCCTTCCTCTCCGCCATCACCCCTCGATCTGCGTGTGTGTATTTGTGCAGTTTTTGTAAATTTTGCGCCATTTGATTGCATTGCCTATGCTGCAGCTCCCTGGTCTCCCGCCTGCGTGGCCACCACGCCCTTCTGGGCCATTGTCGCTTCTTTGGCGGCAGCCTCTCCACTCGCATTTATATACAAATGAACGCCTCCGCAACAGCCTACGCCTCCGTTCCTGCCCCCCGCCCGCCACCCTTCTGCTGCCACGCCTATAGTGCCGTCAAGTGCAGACGCAGGCAAATACAATCTATGTTT